TAATTGCAGTAAGACACAACCATGTAATCTTTCTGATGGATACTGCATACTGGGCTGTGGATGTGATGTTGCACGATGATGTTGCACTCAACTGTTTCTTTCAACATACAACAATTTCACTGGTGAAACAAGAATTTAAGTATCTGCACCTATAGACAACGCTGGTTTTTTTGTGACATTACTGGATCATTTCAACAGTTTTTGAGAAGTAGTAGTCATAATTTTCCTGTTAGCAAACATTGTTAAGTGTATAGGAACTAATTCTTAATTGCCGGGTAAGTATAAAATAAGTAGTATATCAGACCAGGGGCTCATTTAGTAAGATTATCTTGAACACTGAAGAGGCAGCATGTGTTTTGAGCCACGGAAAGTACTTACGTTTTACTCTAGGCTAACAAGAAGGCTATTGTAATACAGTAACAACTGAGTTCTTGACATATTCAGGAAGACTGAGTAAAGGTACATGGTTGCTTACAGAGGAGCGGTTATGAAGCTTAAGTATTATTTACCCAGTGCTCTGAAACTTCAGAAATAAAATGGCACTCAGCATCTGGGTATTTTTTAATGATAATGGGGACCGCATATGAACAAAATTACAAAATATTTTGTCAAAAAAGAGGACAAGAAGTTTCATATTTCAAAAGCTGCATTTCTTTCTTGTAAGACTTTTTAAAAAGCTGCTCAACTAAAATATTTTACAGATCAAGAAATCTTACGTAAATTGGAGAAAGAAAAAATTCTTGTTTTCACCCCATCTCGAAGAGTTCAGGGAAGAAGAGTAGTTTGTTATGATGATCGATTCATAGTAAAACTTGCTTTCGACTCAGATGGCATCATTGTATCAAATGACAACTATCGGGATCTTCAAAATGAAAAACCAGAATGGAAGAAGTTCATAGAGGAGCGGCTGCTAATGTATTCTTTTGTGAATGACAAGTATGTGGTTTTTTCTTCAAAAGTAAGGGAACTTGCTAATTCAGAATCCTCAGTTAAAAACTGAAATTGTCATTTCTTTCCTCTTAGGTTTATGCCTCCTGATGATCCTTTAGGACGTCATGGTCCAAGCCTTGAAAATTTCTTAAGGAAAAGGCCAGTTATTCCTGAACATAAGAAACAACCGTGTCCTTATGGTAAGTGCCCAAGTCAGATTGATTTCTTGTATTCAGAGGTAGGTGAAGCAAGCAATTAATTAACATCCTGTAAAAAAAAAAAAAAAAAAAAAAAAAAAAAAAAGGCCATGCAAGCACTATATCCATTTTTAAACCCTTCACACACATATTAATAAAAACAATATAGCAGAAAAATAAGGATTACCAGATATACCATGTGGATAACAACTGCTATTTTCTTGTGATTTGTATTCAAGGAAGGAGATTCATAACTATACAAACAGTGTTAGAGCTGTTTTGTTTTATATAGCATTAAGTATGTTGTCAGTATTGAAATCATGAGTCAGTAGGGAAAAAAAGTGATGTCTTGCCCTTGATGCAGTGATATACATGGACACAAGTAGCAGAGTCTGTGACTGCCTGTATATACAATATATGTAATTATTCCTTAGGGGGTTAATATAGCACTCTTACTATTGAGAAGTGGTGGAAGATATAAAGGAAAAAGATAGCAATTCATGGTATTGATTAGTTTTTGGTTTATTTAACCTGAAAACACTTTTCTTCCAGGTAAAAAGTGCACCTATGGGCACAAATGTAAATATTACCACCCAGAACGGGCAAACCAGCCTCAAAGGTCAGTAGCGGATGAGCTTCGAATAAGTGCCAAATTATCTGCTGTGAAAACTATGAGTGAGGGAGCCCTGGCCAAATGTGGCACAGGGCCATCCAGCTCCAAAGGAGAAATCAGTTCTGAAGTGAAACGCATTGCCCCAAAACGTCAGTCAGATCCGAGCATTAGATCAGTAGCTGTGGAGCCTGAGGAAAAGTTATCAGTAGCCCGGAAGTCTGAGGCCAGCTCTGTCCCGTCTCTGGTTTCTGCATTAAGTGTACCAACGCTCCCTCCACCAAAAAGCCATGCAGCTGGTGCATTAAATACTCGTTCTGCAAGCAGTCCGGTGCCAGGTTCCTCACAGTTCATGCATCAGAAATCCTCACTGGAACATATGTCCAGTGTGCAATATCCTCCTATACTAGTCACCAATAGCCATGGCACCCCAGTTAGCTATACTGACCAGTATCCCAAATATGAATCACTGGGGGACCATGGCTATTATTCCTTACTCAGTGATTTCTCCAACTTGAGCATAAGTAGTATCCATAACACAGATTATTATGGGGCGGATATGGACCAGGGGATGTATTCTAGAAACTCAAGCCCCTGTCCTGACAATTGCTTAAGCCATACAAGTAATGATTCTTACTCCTCTTACAATGACTTGTATCTGGGTGTAGCAGATGCCAGTCCAGAAGACAATGTGAAGATCCACAGACTGCCATCGCAAAATCGTCTTCAGCCTTTTTCCCATGGTTACCATGAAGCCTTAAATAGAGTTCAGAGTTACGGAACTGAAGAACCTAAGCAATCCCTTCGCAAACAGTCAGTTTCACACTTAGGCCTACATGCCCAGCATCCAGTTGTTGGAGCTCGGTCCAGTTGTCCAGGAGAATACCCTGTGCCTCAAAATGTTCATCCATCAACTGCACAACCAAGCCGTGCCTTGGTCATGACAAGAATGGACAGTATTTCTGACTCACGGCTTTATGAAAGTAACCCTACAAGGCAAAGAAGACCACCTCTCTGTCGAGAGCAGCATGCTAGCTGGGATCCATTACCATGTGCATCAGACTCTTACACTTACCACTCATATCCATTGAGTAACAACCTCATGCAGCCATGTTATGAACCTGTAATGGTAAGAAGCATGCCTGAGAAGATGGAGCAACTCTGGAGGAATCCCTGGATTGGAATATGTGGTGAGCCACGGGAACCACATATCATCCCAGAACATCAGTATCAAACATACAAGAATCTCTCCAATATTTTCCCTCCAAGCATTGTCCTTTCTGTGATGGAAAAGAATCCACACATGACAGATGCACAACAGTTGGCAGCTATGATTGTTGCCAAATTAAGAACAGGGCGTTAAAGTATCCCAGCCTCTTCTGGATAAATGAAACTACACAGCATATAGGACCTGGAGGAAAAGTTGTATGAAGAAGGAAATGGCCAATCTATTGTAAATATTTTTTATGATGATAGTGTAAAATTCTGTACACAGTAGCAATCATATACATGCTGAGGCACTATATAAAAGTTGCTTGTATTGTAAATTTTAAGATTTTAAATATAGGGATTTTTAATAGTATTTTATAGGAAATGCATACCTTGCTGCATGGATAGCTCATTAAGAACTACAATGTCACATTCAGTGTCTCAAAGCTGTTACTACAAAATTACTGTTAGTAATTATATTGCATGTATTAGTGTACACTTTCAATTTGCTTATAAATAACCTAATTGGCCTTCAAACGTATGTTCTATACACAGATGAATTCTAGGGTTTCAGCTTTGTCATTTGACACTGCCTACTGGCGTATTAAATACTGAAGAAAAACACTTGAAAAAAATTAAAATACTCAGTTTTGAAAAAGAAAACCTGATTTCAGCTTTGGAATGTCAATATTGTTGTTGGGGTTTCAATTTCAAAACTGTTCCCCAAGAGTTTGCGTATCTATTACATTGTGCAATACGTTGGCTCAATCCAACAGAAGCTAAATACTTTATTAAATTAGGACCAAAACATGAAGGAATGCGAAGGTGTGAGCACTATTCGGTAAACCAGAAGTTTAACTGTAGCTTCTCTCTTCAGAATCACCTCTCCACTGTGCAATAAGCAGCTGCTGGCCCAGATGACTAGACAAGCTGAAAGTACATAGTCACTTTTATGTAAATGGGACTACTTGACCTGAAGCAGTGGAAACTGGATGATAACACTGAAGTTCATCAGTAACTACAGCCCTTTCTCTGGGGGCAAGGATGGTGTTTGAGTGAGCCTCCCATTCAGAATGGCTGTACAAGATCAACTTGAGAAGGGGGTGGAGGGGGGAGGGCTGCTTCTTGAAAAGAGATGCTACAGTTTGTGGCAAAGGTGGCCTTGTTTTTTTTGCTCTTCAGATCCACGCAAAGGTGTGCATTTGCCTTACGAAGGCTTTTAGAGTTCCTGTTCCAACAGGTGAGATAATTTCGTGTGGCATTGTTTGCGCAACTGGTATCTTGCTCAGGGTGGGAACCTTTGTAGCTAAATGTCTCCAAAAGAGGCGTTTATTGTTTTTTAAGCTGCACTGACTGGACGCCCTTTTTTGAATCCATTGTATATTTCAACATTTCGAACCATTACTAACTCGATACTCTCGAGCTAGGACTTGTTGACTTCTACTGTAGTTTTTTTCATGAAAGTTGAGAAGGCCTGATTTATGGCCTTTTGTTTCTTCATGAGAAGGTGTGACACTGCCTAAATGTTTCTTACTGTGAAACACACGGAATGTGAGGCTGCAGTCAGGGTTGTTTCTGGTGTTTTGATAATGGCTTGCATGCTGCTTTCTAGTTATCTGTTTGTCTGAGGAACAAAGTTATATAATTTCCTCCACTTGTGTTACTCTAATGGTTTGATTCAAAATACCTTGTGGGCTTTTTATCATGTTAAAAACTTGTTCCTGTCATATTAAAAAAAAAAAAAATCAACCCCAACAAACCACAGTTACAGGTGCAACTACAGTTAATTTACTTACACTTGATAACCATATCATTTCACACAGGATAAATATTCTTGTGTTGGTACAGTTAACATATACAATGACCATGCCATGATGTATTTAAAATGAGTTAACTTGAAGGTGATTCTGTATTTATACTTGGTGTTCAAAAATAACTTAAGTTTTAATTAGTTGGCTATCATCTCTGTTAATGGGAAAAAAGAAATCTTCAGACATTTTGTAATAGTTGGGGAAAACAGATTTAACTCTTGACCAGTTTTCAAAGACATTCCTTACTAAGCAGCATTTTATATTTTTAATTTGCAGTCAATTCTTATTCTCTTCTCTTGCATGGTATAAGCAGCTGAGAGCAATGCCTCAAATAACCAGAAATGACCTTTTGTTTGTTGATACAAATTGTATCTCTTTTTCTTGATTGTAAAAAAACTGTGTATAAAAAAAAAAAATCTCACTATTAACTTCAGTATTACATTTTCACCACGTTTGTGACACCATGTGTCACAGGGAAGTAGCCCATGAACAATTATGAATCTTTTTTTATTTAAAATGGGCACTTGTAGTTTATAGAGAAACAAGGACAACTTTTCAGAACCAGTTTATTATGTGCACAGATACTGTGTGTACACCTCAAAGCATTACACAGTTATCTTTAGTCTATTTATTAAGCAGATACATTCTTGCACTAAGCTTTATGTAAAAAATGTTGCTGTTAACAACTCATCTGCATGTGTTTAAAATGTAACAATAGAATTGCTATAGATCCTGCTTTATTCTTAACAGATTAATTTATAAATTATTTAGGTATAAAATGAAGCTTATTGTGCACTTGTGTTTTCCATCGTGCATGGAATTAAATATTTGTATGTAGAAAAATATTTGTTCCCTTTTTCTCCACTTATAAAGATAAGCTATTTTAAGAGAGGTTCAGTACGTGCTTTTGATGTTTTCTAATATGGAAAACTGAGCAGAAATTTCTGTGTGAAGTGTTGGGTGGTTTATGGAGATACTAATTTTTGTAGGATTCATCTAGTCATTTTACTTTTCACTGAATTTTGTCTTTGCAATAGAAGAATACCTTTTTAAACAATAGGAATGCTATGCCAATACAAACCCAGCGCACTATTTCCCTAAGGCACTTTGAAGGCAAATTGTCTTTTTATAAGAAACTATTGGCATCTATTGTGCGTTGAGTTACAGAATGGGCAGTGTAGCCTTGTGGAAATAATTTGCAAATTTTGTGCTCATTTAGTCTTCCTTAAAGGTAAGGAAAGTTTTGTATGTGATGTAGTCTGTCCTGATCAACTACTTTAAGTGATAATTCAGTCATCCACATCTGTTTTCTGATATGTTTACAAGCCAATTCAAAACACTGACACATTAATTAATCTTCAGCACATAAGCTTAGATTTCTTCTTACATGGAAGAGATGATCTTAACACCTGATCATAACTGTCTATATTGTAAATATAATACTTTGTATAAATGCTCTTTTTGAGAGCATGGGATTTAAGTGTTTTTAAAACTGTCAAAAGCAGTTCTAGAAACTATATTTTAATAAAATCCATTAAATTACAATTCTAGATGAGGAAAAAAAAAAGTGGGAAGGTAAAATCCTGGCCTAGTGCAATCAGCACAAGTTAAGCAGGAGATGTTAGTGCTTTACTGGGGCCAGAGGGTTCTATGGGACTTCTGATTTGCTGATCTTTCATCTTTAGCTATATTACTTTCAGGTGATTTGACACTTAAGAGTGTATAACCTTAAATTCATGAATCAAAAAATCAAATGCTTTATGGGATGTCAGTCTTAAGTTATTTAATGGTTTTTTTTTTTTTTTTTTCCTGTAAGAATTACATGTCAGTAATATATTAAATTGCACATATAGATGATTTCACTACTGTAATCCTGGTGTAGTGAGCTGCAGTAGCTGGCTTTATTCATTTGTAGAATTAAACATTACTGTTTAATTGTTGTAAATTTTTATAAATCTCTTTGGGTTTTTTTGGTTGACCCAAATATAATGTAAGTCTTAATGACAAAATGAGTGAAAATGGAAGTTAAACCAGTATGTGGTATTTGTAAGTCTCTGTAGTAATAGGCGTGTGCTGCTGCATGTAATTCATTCACTAGCATGAGTCTGTTTAGCTTTTGTAAAAATGCTTTAACTGTAAACTTAAAAATAGAAATTGTGGGTATGGTTGCTTAGAACAAGCAGAAGGATCCTCATTAAAAAACCAAAACCAAACCAAAGCATCTATCTGAGTTCCCTCCTACATACTTTTAATGCCAGTTTGCCTCAGGTCATGCATTTTGTAATTCTTACAGATAAAGGCAGAACACACAAAGAATCTGTCCAAATAATTCAGTTACAAAATACTTGGTGACGTGCCTGTGATGTATACCAAACTGCAAACAGGAACATTTCAAGGGACATATTTTGACTATAGTAATTTTTAAAACTCTATGCTAAAGACAAGGAACATCCATCATTTCTGTGAGACTTTGTTCTACAGAATTGAAATATTACTTTACCTTGATTTACCAAAAGTTTACATGAAGCATTAGTTCTATAGAACTTACCCTAGTCAGATCATTAAATCTGTCACTATTATTTCTATGGTTAGTGTTCAGCTTTAATAGTCCTCTTACGTACCCACAGCTTGTCTCTGTGAGCTCTTATTAACTGTATTTCTTTCAGTATTTCAACTGGAGAAACTTAACTGCACTGTCACTTAAATTATTCTCATGCCGTTGTTTGGTTAGCCTTTGAAGAGCCATTATACAGTATCTATGATTTTGGTCTGTGGTATTTAAAGTTTGTAAATGTATTAAGAGAAGTGAGAGAATAATCTAAAAGAAATACAGGCAATTACCTGTTCCCCACCCTGCTCTGTGTAAAAGGTTTGCACAATTATTTAATAATATGAAACGTGCTATACTTTATATAAATATATATAAAAAATTGCTTATTTAATAAAACTGAAAGCCAGTGGATTATTTGTTTCTAGCTTTTTATTTTGTAACCCTCTTTAAGCAAGAGCCCTAAAAAGCTGTTTTGTCCAAAACAACTGTTGTAGTCTGTCCAAAGTATTTCACAATGTTTTTAGGGGATTTACTGAAAAATACCCAGATTCTGAAATCATACCTAATGCTCTTATTTTCCATCTGTGCTTAAATCTGTGAAGAAACAGGATAAAAGTTTTTCTTTAAAAAGCAGAGGAAAAAAAGTACTATTTAGGTCTCACTGTCTTGTCAGAATAACATCCTTTGTCAGTCTCTGTATTTCACTATTTAAACAATTATTTCCCTTACTATGGGGAAGGTGATGTAATGTCATTTATTACCATTGTTTTGACTCAAACTGCTTTAACTTGT